TAAATTGTCTTCGATCTGAGCAATAACGAAAATGGAAATTCATACATCGCCATATTTTAAAAACAACCAACCAACTTTTTCTTTGAAACAAAAGCCCGCTAAATATGTTGTCCACCGCAAAAATTTGTTATTATTAAATTCGTTTATTCTAAAGCCAATCACCGAAAAGGATTTTGATGTGCTTTGCAAACGTTAGCCCCAGCAAGGCTTTAATTTCGGTGCCGCCTGATATGAAAGATAATATGATTATGGACGATAGCAGGTACTCCCGATTGAACTGGCACTCAGAGTTTGGAGGTAAGTAGTTAGAGGGCAGCCCAATGCCCTAAGTGCAGCTTGTCTGTCACCGCAGACATGTAAACTCATTCCCCTCCACCTAGCCCCACTCAGTGTTATACCGGCATCCGTTTCTTTCTAGTCTGCAGGTGGCCTTTAAGGCTTCCCTACGTAAGAAGAAACAAAGTGACGGTAAGTGCAGCAGTGCATCTAGAGTAGCGCAACGTGTTGTAGAGAAAGCTTCCGTACAGCACACGGCAGTAGTTCTTTGAAGTTTTGCAAGCAGGCTTCCCACTCTCTTGATTCAGAATCTGCTCCACCATTCGTGTTTACATTGCCAAAATGCTGTTAGAGGTTTTGTGTTCCACGTTAGACTTCCACGATAGTTTTGTATACAGAATTACTTCTAGAAACTTCACCTCGGGAGCATTCTGAATTTTGGCTCCTTTAATTGTGAGGGAAATGAGACCATTCAACCTTCTCCGAAGCCTGGTTTCGGACTATGCTTTAATGACGAAATAGCTAACAATACGTCTTTTTCGGACTAGAAAAAGAGTTTTGGTATGTAAATATATTTATTTAGTTTAAAATAAAATAAACAAAAAAAGTGTTTTAATAAATAAATGTTTCAAAACTGGATTTTATTTTATTTCTTCGTCTCTGCACATCGATTTTTTTCAAAAGGTTCAAATTTGATTACACTGTGGAACAAATTCAGGTTAGCAAAAGTTAGGTCGATTCTGAGAGTGAGGGGTGAAAATAGAGGCTAAATTAGAAGACCCGTATCGCGGCGTTTGTTTATGTTGGTTCGAATTTTTTTTTAATCGACCTTCGAACTTTGCAGTCAAATGCAATAAATTTCTTCCCCTTCTTCCTCTTTTTCCTCGTCTTCCTCTTTTTTGTTTCCAACCACCGCACAGGTAGCGATTTTTATTTATTTCGTACAAGCGAACTAATATCAAAAATAAAGATTCAGTTAAGACTCGAAACTCAGCCGAAGCTGATGTCTTTTAATTTTCGCTCGGTCGTGATAAAATTCACTATTAATTTTTTTGGAACTTATTTCATTTTGTGAGTGATTTAAGTTAAGTGCATCGGTTTCATAAAAATAACAAAAACAACATTGTATAATATATATTGTATTAAAAATGTCGGAACCAAAATATAAAATGGACCATTTTTTTAATGTTTGTGGACGTTTCATAGCAAGCGATGAAAAATGTGGCAATGCGAGTGATTGTTTTTTTGGAAGCCTATAAACAATATTTCTCGCAAGAGTTTATCACTGACGTAAACTATGCCCCTAAAAAGTTTGCTTTAATTGCTATTCAAGTGTTATGCAATGGAAAAGTGAAAAGAAGAAGGCTATGCCTTTTGGCATACCAATGATGTGGTTAGACAACAGCCCGCATCAACAAGAAAATTGCTATGGATGTATCAACTACCATAAAACTTTGAATAGAAGGAAAGCAAAGAATACAACTTATGTAGCAGTGCCAAGTGTCCAATTACCATTACCGCACTCAGAATTCGTTCCAGTACCAACATACCGAAGTATTGATCTTCAAACAGATATCAGTACTGCATCCGCCGCTGCTATATCCATGCATTTCTTCTCAGAATACGACCCTGGTGAAGGTACATCCTATGAAACATCAAAGGACCCAATCTTAGTCACTCAAAAGCAATTGGATGCAATTGTTGCAATTTTGTGTTTGACTCAGAAAAAATCAGAACAACTGGCTTCATTTTTGAAAGGAAATAATTTGCTGGCGAAAGGTACCAAAGTAACAGCATATCGAAAACGCCAAAAAGAGTTAGAAAAGTTCTTCAATGTGAATGATGCACAAAATTTCGCTTATTGCAACGATATCGAAAAGTTAATGGAGACGATAGGGTTAACCTATAAAAAAGATGATTGGCGTTTATTCATCGATAGTTCACTAATCAGCTTAAAAGTTGTGCTTTTGCACAAGACGAATAGAATGCCTTCTGTTCCAATTGCGTATATCACTGACACTAGTGAAAATTTTGATAATTTAAAACACATTCTGGAAGTAGTCAAATATAACGAACACCAGTGGCGCATTTGCTGCGACCTCAAAATAGTTTCATTGATTACAGGCTTAACAGCATCTGGCCGTCCAAAATATCCGTGTTTTTTGTGCGATTGGGATTCACGATACGGAGAAGGTATTAAAGGAAGGAACCAGTACAAACAGCATAACTGGAATAGTCGCATTGGACGGAAATGGCCTAAAGACAATAGGCTACACGAAAGTCTAGTTCCTGAAATGAAAATTTTGTTGCCGTTGCTCCACATTAAACTTGGCATTGCTAAAATTTTTTTGAAATGTATCGCAAAAAGACCAGCAGTATTCAACCGCCTAAAAGACATTTTCCCAAGACTAAGTAACGCCAAAATTCAGGAAGGGGTTGTTAATGGTCCCGACATACGGAAACTAATGAGTCGTCGAGATTTTGACCAAGTTCTGACAGACCGAGAATTAAATGCATGGCTCGCATTTAAAGCAGTCATAAAAGGACTTTTGGGTAAAGAACGCAAAGACAACTACAGGCAATCTGTTGCAAACATGTTGGCAGCTTTCGATGAATTTGGGGTTAATATGTCGTACAAAATTCATCTCTTGCATCAGCATCTTGATCAACTCGCTCAACAGTTGCCAACTGAATCTGATGAGCAAGGCGAACGTTATCACCAAACTGCGCTTCCATTTGAAATAAGGTAACTATAGAGTGTGCATATTTTGAATTCCTAGATTTTTATAATATCTTTGTCAGAGTGCACAATTTAAACATGTTAACGATTGAAAACTATTTTCGTTTCAGGTACAGAGGAAAGAAATCTCCAGATGCAATACTCGCTGAAATTTGTTGGTGGTATAAAAACACCTTTGAAGAAGAGGAAGACGAGGAAAAAGAGGAAGAAGGGGAAGACAAAGAAGAAATTCCAGAATATCTGTTGGACGAAATTATCGACCTTTCTGATGATGATGACGATGACCAAGATATTAGAGCGAGCAGTGATGTTGATCCACAGCCGCCTGCTAAACGGCAACTGGCCAAATCATTAATTTAATTTATTTAATTTTTTTACTTAAAACTTTTCATAACTAATATTTCAAAATTATATTTTTTTCCATACTTTTATAAATTCTTTTTCAATGTTTCTTCAAAACCAACACTGAAAAAATTGGTACATAAGAAATGAGAAGCAAATTAATATTAAGCTGGAAAACGCAAGTTTTGTATTATGATTGTTTTCTTTTCAAATGAAATTTATTGAAGAAACTGAGAAGCATATTATAGATCAAACAGAAAGCAAAAAAGACTCAGTTTTGTGGAAAATATGTTCAAAAAGCATGAAAAAAAATTTCCAACATTTTGCTTCATAAGCACTACAAAAATTTTCTAAATAAATTTTTTTTTTTAATTTTAATTATTGCACAGGTCTGTAGCAATAATTTGGCTTTAACAGATTGAAAAAATATCAATTAGTCGACGAGTTATAGCCAAAAAACCATATAAACAATATGCTGAAAATCGGCATTTGACTGCAAAGTTCGAAGGTCGATTAAAAAAAAATTCGAACTAATAAACAAACGGGTCTTCTAATTTAGCCTCTATTTTCACCCCTCACTCTCAGAATCGACCTAACTTTTGCTATCCTGAATTTGTTCCACAGTGTTATCAACACATCAACTTGCAATTTTTGTATGCACATTTTACTCTTTTATTAAATCCCAAATATTTAAAGGAAAATCTTCCCTATCAAAAAAATTTTAATGTGGCAAAGCTATGCTTAATGTTTACATCTGGAGAAATGTCAAAAATCTGCTTTATAATCAAAAAATAGTAGTAATAAAACTACCTTCTTTTTTGTATCATGTCATACTGTATTCATGAAACATTTCATTTTGACGTAATTCTCCTCCGATATTACATATTTATAATAAAAATGCTAATGCTGCTCTGTGACACATTTACTTAAAATTATTCTCCACTGACCGCTGGTAACTTAATTTTCTTTGCGAATATTGCTTATTTATTACTATGTTTATACGCACGTATTATTTGCAAATAAAAATTTGCAAAATGTTAAACTTTGCCGCATAAACACAAAGTTAATTTTTTATTTGTAAATAACTCGGGCTCGGAATCTCATGCAAATGCATGTATTTATTGGCGCTATTAAAATCGAAATGTTTAAGTTATCTTTACGAATAGTTAGTTAGTGCATATTTTTGCATATTTCGCAGTAAATGCATGATTTTGCATATTTTGCAAAAAATTCCGGTTTTTTCATATTTATTGCGAATATTTTACAATAAATGCATGTGGTTTTCGTATATATTTTTTACAACCATTTAAATTTAGTTCGAAATCTCTTGTCAAAAAAAAACACACAAGTTTATCTTAAATATTCATCGGAATATCTTCTCAGATAGCCAAGCGGACATTGAGGTACTCTCTTCTACCTCTGTTAGATCTCAACTAGTGGAAGACTATAGGAGAGAGCTGGCCTATATCTCTGATCAACACGAAACTACCCTAATATGGTTCCTGACGCATAGCGACATTTACGGAAAGATGGCAGCGGACGAACTTGCAAGGTGCGGCTGGGCACTGAATGTGTCCCACGCGGTGGACATGGGCGCTTCGCTCAGGTAGATAAAAGCAACAGTTACCGAAATTTATCACTCCAAGGCTAAGCAGAGGTGGAACTGTGCAGGATCATACAGGATTACTCGGCAGTTCTGGGTGTCCTACGACCCACTTAGACCAAAGCTCTCTTAGGAATGAGCACAGAAGATACCTACTAACATACTGCAGTGTGCACAGAGCACTGATCCTTTGTTGCAATGACTCTGGCGAGTGTCCAGCCTTTGCAAAGATGAGGCTAAAGACAGTCTGCAAGCCATTCCTGCAGAATGTTTTAGAGTGGAGCTGCCTCTCTCTGTATGACGTCCTGAAATTCATTAAAGCCGCCAAATGGCTTTAGATTGCACGAGTTGTGGAATCAAGATGGCAAACTTTCTCAACTGTTTATTTACACGAGATTGTCACCCCTATTCTGCAACACTTTCGCATTCGGATTTTTTCGGACGAATCGTAGAAATGGTATGCTGCAACCCGAATCGTATCTTCGAACTTTCGAAATTCGTAACAATGGCATTAGTGGTGTTTATTTAAACAGATAAATTTGCCTTTCGCAAATACGTATATTTTTATCCACTGCTTTATATAAACGAGCTAAAAAGAATCTTTGTTGCCCCTTATCGAGAAACTTGAGTCCGGTTTAATTATTTGTACAATGATTTTCGGTTGTTGTGTCCAAACGCATAACCCGAATCCAAAAACTTTAACATACACGTGTAATCAAAGGATTAAACCTTTATTTAAAATATATGTTTCAAATTATTAATAAATTCGGTTTGCACTACGCACTTTTTTTGCAAATTTCGATGTGGGTTCTGCGCAAAAATACTGTGATATGCACAAGAAATATTGTATACCTTTAGTAAGAGTTATAATCCCTAAGCGTGGCCGAAGGAAGAAGCAAGGGCAACAGGTGATGGACCTAACAAAATGCATGTTTTCAATGGCTTGGAAGAAGCTGTTATTGTATTACCTGGATTGGGAACCAGTTTTGCAGGCATAGAAGGAGTTCTGGCTTGTGGTTCAACAATTCAACCAGAAGCTCACATAGATGCGCCCATGGCTACTATGCCCGGCAGCTCCGTATACCTTCGTGAGTCCATTACCATAGCGCGCTCTTACTCCGCTGCTATAACTGCAAATGCATCAGAATCAGTGTTGCCACAAAATTTTTTTATTTTTTATCAAAATCACTGAAAAAAGTTACCAAATTCAACAAAAAATTACCAAACTTATTTTATGTGCAGAACTGTACAAATATACATATCTGCATCAAAAAGAAAATTTTGAAAAAAATGTCGCTTACGTTATTTTGGCAGTTAGGGCTCGATATGTCTGTACATATGTATATCCGAGGGTACCTAGCTTTTCAGGCAATCAGCGCTCTATTAACCTAACATTTTTTCGAGAGTTTGTTGAATTTTTTAAATATTGAACAAAGTTTGAAATTTGAATTTTTTTGAGTTCTGTTAAAGAAAGAACAATATTTTTATAAAAAATAACCAAAATTAAATAACAAAAACATAACATGTTAAAACTTATCAAAATATGGTGCGGTTATAATTTTTTCGACCACTGTATGTAAACAAGTGACAAAAAATATATCAAAGATTCAACGCTTGAAGGAAAGCTTTCGACTCACACATAGACAGAGTGAAGTCCCCCGCTGAATGCCGTAGGTTTTTAACGAGAACGTACATATTTGCGTAAAATTCCACTGATATATATGGTTGCCGGGTACACCGGAAAATTGATGGTAATTGAAAAGCTGACGAGCTGACAGGGAAAGGTAGGTCCACCCAAAACCTTCCAGGAAAGGACACGGTGGATATACTTAGCAATAGCCACTTTCAAGCGATTTGTTAAAGAACAAACCATCCTAGTAGACAAGGAACGCAGGAGCAACTTTCGCCTTGCGAAACTTTCAGGATTACCTGGTATTTCTATAAAAGGAAACGCTTACGGTCCACTTACTAATGTGGAATTAGAACCAATATTGACCTATTTGACATGTAAGACCGAATCGAAAAAGTTACCAAATTGAAAAATAAATTACCAAATTACCAAACTTCATAAATAAAGAAAAAAACAACCAATTTTGGTTAAAAATTACCAAGGCGGTAACGCTGATTCAGAATCCATAATTTTCCTCAAAATATTTAAAATCAATCAATTTTACTATAAACAAGCACATGATGAGTGTTTTTTTAATTCGTTTCCTCTTTGTTTTCCTTCATACAGCTGAGTTCGAAAAACAACTGACAGCTGGCAATGCTGCACATGTTTCCGCAAGAGTTGCAGCATGTCGATTTTTCGTTTTTCGTAACGTAACTACGAATAACGAATTACGAAAATTCGGGTTCTAGAATAAGGGTGTGTATCTAACTGCTTGATTATTAACTAATTTTATCCATAAATATGTATTGTATTTTGAAGTGGATTGTTTTCGTTATTTTCTTGTTAAAATACATGTGTTATTTATTTTTTTACCAGCAATAATATATTAGGAAAATTTTTAATTGCATATTTTACTTCTTTTTGGCGCATATTTTCGATTTTTTAGTGCATGAGATTCCGAGCCCTATAAATAACTAAGTCACGCAAATAAATATTGATTAGTGGTACTATTTGTAAATAAGCGCAAGACGTTGCCATTCGTAGGTTTATTTTCTTTTTCAATGATCCGTTGCGAATCAAGAGTTTTGTGTTAAGATGACATCGATTTGTTAGTGCATATTCTTACACATTTTTCCTTAAACGCCGTTTGTCTAGAACTGAGGAATCACTCCACAATTGCAAGAGCATTGATGATTCCATGCAACTATTGGGTACTGATTTCGTCGAAAATTATTTTAATGTCACTGACGCAGCGCCATATATCGAGCCCTAACCGCCCAAAAAACGTAAGCGACATTTTTTTCAAAACTTTTTTTTGATGCAGAATTACGGCTGGTATTATCACTTGCGAAGCGAATAAAAATATCGGCGAACTTCGAAGTCTCGAATTATGAAATGCGAATCAGTGTTGCCGCGAATCCTTTTTAGTGGTAGCCAAATTCCTTTAAATAAAAGCTAAAAAAGAGCTAAAAAAAGTCGTTGTGGCTAAAAATCGTAGCTAAAATTTTTTACTTACATATATGTACATATATAAGTATACACGCAAACATTTTCAAGAAGTAATGGTATAGAAAAACAATGAACTCTGGAAAAAAGCAAATATTTTATCCAACCAAAAACTTTTTTGTGTAAAAGGGGAAACATACCACACCGGCTTGCTGGCTCCAGCTTATAACTTACCAGCATGCTGGTTCAATATTTATTTCTTTAAAAATGAGCTCGAGGAAAAATCGAAATGATTAGAGCCGAAATTTCATAATTTTTCTAACATTTTCTTAAACATTGTTTTTTTTCTTAATTCACAACTGCACTATCGTAAACTAATCTTCCAACACGGCTTTGACTTATATAGTGCAAGAATTTCCGCCAAAATACGTTTTACTTTGAAAATTGAGCTAATTTCACCACTCACGACACCAGCAGCTGGTACAATCACACCACAAGAACATACACAGTCAAACGGCTTGATGGGCCATTTAACAAATTAAGGGCCGTAAGTTAACAGCCTTAACACTTTTACAGTATGTATGTATAAAAAGGTAAGGAACATACAATACATATATGTATATATATCAGTCTTTCTTAGTTTAAAAATTCATCTCTTACATAAATGAAAAAAAATTACATCAAATTAAGCATATACAACTTTTTCATGCCAAGTATAAGTAAATTCTCCAAAGGGCTAAAAATGGGCTAGGGGCAATTTTAAATTTATGTGGCCAAAAAAAGTATGTGGTAGCTAAATCTAGCCACCAAAGGGGTAAAACGGCAACACTGATGCGAATCACCGGCGAATTCGCCGCAAAATGGCAAACGAGTGGCGAAAATGAATTTCTTGTATTACCACTAGCGAAAAAATGACATTCGCTTCGCCTTAGCTGTCAAAATTTGGCGACTGTTATCTCGATTCGCACTTCAAAATGGAAAAGACGTTAGTAATTGGTTTTATATGTACATAATTTCATTAAATACAATACATTTTTCAGAATAAAACGAACAACAACGCCACAGTTTGAAAAGCTAGTGGAAATCATGCAAAATAATCCAACGTCAACTCAGACGAGAAGAAAAATGACAGTGGAGGACCCCGAAAACATACGTTTAAGTGCATTGGAGAGGCAGTCCGAGGTGCAAGAAGTTCTTTGCTCCACTAATTTGCATATAAATTCAGATTATATATAGCCCATTTAGTTTTGGTATATTAATGTGCAAAAATTAAGTGGAAAAAAATCGCGTTGATTTTTAATAATTTTTTCTGACAGTTCCACGCGTTTTCCTCCATACAAAGAATGAGTGAAACTATTTATATACTGATTACCAGGGAACGGATTTTATGGAAATCGTCTTTTTTCTGCTAAAGAGATAGAGTATATTCGATTAAGAATGTCCACGATTTAGCTTTCCCTGATTCCATATATAACATTTGATGTTGCCTTTTTCTGCCTTTTTTAAGATATTTGCCTTTTTTAAGATATTTGCCTTTTTTGCCTTTTCTACCTTTAAAAAAGTGATTATAGCATTTACAATTTTTTTTTAAAGAATACAAAATATACACATGCCCATGCGGATTATAGAAGCGCAAGGACCTCTTGCCAAATTGGTGTTGGAAAAATTCAAAGCCGTTTTCTCAGCTAACGTAGGCTTGGAGACAATAAGGGGTGTGGATAAAATTGCAAAGGGTGAGGAAAACGCCCTTATTCCTGATAATATGAACGTTTCAAACGTTCCATATTTAAATTGGGCTCCACTTTTATCAACTTGCGTCGAGCGCACATTTAGTACATTCAAGGCTTTTCTTCGCGAAAATCGAATGAAAATGCTGCCCGAAAACTTCAAAATGCATCTTGTGGTTCAATGTTATTACAACTATACAGATTAAAGTTTTATGAATTAGAAACTCGAAAGGATAAAATAGTCAAAGATTCAAAGTACAAATTTTTCATATAATGAAACTAGTTCATAGTTTTTCTCTTTTTACTTGTAATATAAACATTTCTAAAATAAATGTATTTTTTTGATTGGTCTTCGTATTTTCTGTCTTTTTTTAGTGCTTTATTTTGCTTTTTTTGCAATACCTGTGCCTTTTCCTGCCTTTTTCGCTATTTTGTTTTGCCTTTTTTGCAATATCTAGTGCCTTTTCCTGCCTTTTTCGCTATTTTATTTTGCCTTTTCCAGCCTATTTCGTTATTTTTTTTTTTTTTATAGGCTTTTAGGTCCTAAAAATCCGTTCCCTGCTGATTACAAAGTTGAAAATTTTGATGAAAATTCGGGGAATTTTTCTTAATTTTGTATAAAGCTTGAAACCTTGGTTTATATGAAAGTTAGATATGAATCTGATTTAAAATTTAGTTAACACATACATGTTTCACTTATTCATATTGAGCAATTATTAAGTTTTATTGCAAAATGGTGGTTTATAGACTTGCATTCTAACAATAACACAAAATATTTCGCTAAATACTTACATTGACGACGGCATATCTGTAGGATTAGAGTTATCTCTAATAACCCGACATTGTCGTAGTAAATTAACCGTGGTCTGCTCCCTGTAATCATCCTCGAAATACAGATCCACGGAATTAAGCATTTAAATTTTGAATTTATTTGTTTTTCTTTAGTACCGATATTTCTTGTTTACAAAAACTTTGCTTTGAAACGTCAAAGTTGTAAAATTTGGATGAACCCATTTGTCAAATACACGTTTTTTGGTATGGCAACAGCAAATACAAGCGAATGTGTTCATTCACCACTCATAATACCAATGCCCACAATTTTCGCCTGAGCATTCGCTTCGCCAAACACATTCGCTTCGCAACTCATAATACCACTCTACATCTTACTGTCGCTTACGTTTTTTTGCGGTTAGGGTTCGATATGGTATAATCAGCAAAGACGCTGAAGGTATTTTACCCAAAGTTCCTGCACGTTACTTGTTTGGCACGCAATGCACCGAGTGGCCGAAGATGTAAGAGCTCGCTTCAGTGATGTTGACGAATTAATATCGAATGGGAAAAAATATTTTTAAAATCGGGTTTGCGCGTTGAAGCTTCTAAGAACATATATTCCAATATCGCTTTTCCGCCACAGCCAATATTAACGAGATTGGGAACCTCGTTAGAGGCAGCAAAATATTATTGCCTACATCTTAAGGAATGTCAAACCTTTCTTAAAGATCTAAATGATAGTGACGCTTCTTCAATATTGAAGGCGAAAAAAGCAATAGCTTTAAATTCGATTGAAGCACGGTTAGTCTATATCAATGAAAACTACAGCTTCTTGTCGGAAATAATAACTAAATTGGAAGGAAAAAAATCACTGGTTGAACAAGTGCATCTTGTGGAGACTGCCGTTACTACTATTCAAGGTGTGCAGGGTGAACTTGGGCCAAAAATCAAGGAAAAATTGGGTACCATTCTACAAAAAATAAGGCGTAAATTTTTACCAAATAAGAGGAATAAATATTTAATAAAGAACTATTTCACTTAAGCCTAACCAACTTTTGGTCGCTCGGAGCTAATTTGGAACGCGTCCTAAAATATTTTCATGGACGGTAAATGCAACCCTGGCTGCAGCATTAATGAGCTGAAAATCAAAACAAATGGTTTTAAATATTTCTGAAGACTATCTATAGCTGCTTCTGCATCATCAAAATTGAGAGCTGTGCCAGCGAACATCGCGTATTTCTCCGCCTTCCTTATTAGCAAACAACGTACGTTCTTTGTTATTAGCTCATGTATGGTATATATATATATTCGATTAGGCCGTGCTCGAAGCATATATGGCTCGAAACCACCAGGTTTTTCTTTATTTGCTGGAGGACTTGACAATTTGCTCGGATTATTAAGAACCTCATCTGCGGTAGGTGGAGGGCTATGTGGTGAAGGCTTTGAAACTGATATTGGTACCGTTTCTCCATCAGCTAGGGGATCATTCGGTATGGAGGTGATTTCAGGATAACCTTTACTATCGCATGAGGCAATAGCTTTAGCGCCACCACTAGCGCCAAATTTACCACCTTCGTTGGCTACCGGTCCCGTCAATGGAATTTCGACATTATTCTTAGGCAATTGTGAATACAAGCTGCCTACCATTTGGCATATTTGCGGTTTAACGACTCTTCGGAAAGTTCGCCAAATGTTTGGAGCACATCGTAAATAACCACAGTATTTACAGTAATAAACCTTTTTGAGTACTCCTCGGGGGTAAAATCTGATCAGGGTTGATAATGAGAAGGAGCATGAATTTCGTTGATTCAGAGTTAAAATTACTGTGGTATGAAAGGGAGCAACAGCCGTACTATGGCAGAGTGGCACAAGTCATGACTGTAAAAGTGACCGAAATTAATTACAAATGTGTAAAAATATTGCAAATTATTGTCTATTATTATAGATACCAAAGAATGTAAATCTATAAGAGGAGACAACACGTTATAATTGTAGCGAGTGTGAACATCAGGAGCATGCCTTCTCTTCTCATCTAACCACAAAACGTATTTGGGCAAAAGAGAAAGCACGCTCCTGATGTTCCCACTCGTTACAATTATAACGTGTTGTCTCGCTGACGTGTGGCGAGTGAGTCTAGAAGGTTTGCAAGAGGAATTCGCGTCCGTTTTGACATCAAGTTTCGTAAATGAATTCGCCGCACATTTGATGTCGCGGCGACAAAGAACGTGAAAGAAATAGTAATCGATGATAGAAATAAAGAAATGAAATAACAAAAAAGATGGCCGCGACTCCTTTTGTTTATTTTCCGTCGGCATTTAACATGCGCCTGTGCGTAGATTTTCTTTATTTTGTAATTTTGAACAAATGTAAGGAAATTAAATGCATGCGCTATGCAAGAGCTTTACAAACTTCCTTTTTAATATGGAAGTTGTAAAGTTGTAATTTATGAACGTAATATCCCTTTTAATTAACAAATAAAATAATAAACTGAACATGCAAAATTCGTAAATAATTTAAACCAATTTGTACAAATGTACTCATGCGATTTCCCTCCTAACATATCTACATTCATGCAAATATACGTACAGTGAAACCCGCTTAAGTACCTAACCCGCTTAAGTATCCAACATTTTTGGGCAATGTGAATTTGTGAATGTAATCTGAAGAAAATCCCGCTCTTAAGTACCTCCCCGCTTAGTTACCCAACCCGCCTAAGTACCTAAATTTTTCGTACCCCATTTACCATTTTACCTATAATTTTCCCCTTTTAATTGCTCTTTTAAAATTCCTTAAAATATTAACATTTTTATATATATTAACATTAACGATAGTGCCACCATCGATAGTCTCCATGTTTCAGAAAAAAACTATCCTTACTCGTTGATAGTTTCCAGCAATACTATCGATAGTGTCCAACGCTACAATCGATAGTACTATCGATAGTCAATGTAATGTTAAAAACTCTTCCAAATTAACAGGGACGGCTTCGAAAAACAAAATATTGGAAATATAAACGCACGTTGGGCCGTTTTCTTAAGTAACTTTTAACTTTAAAATTCACTTTATGTTTAAATATTGCTTTATCATGTATAGTTCTGTCTAAGTAAAGCATTTTATTATCGATTTTTTTTTTTTATTTACATATCTATTACTGCAGCTTACAATTAAAAATAAAATGATGAGCCTAGTAAAGAAAGCTTCTTCTTATGATCTATAACACATGGCAACAAAAATGGGGAAAAATTTGTTGCGGCAAATGTTACAGCTTTTTTTGATTGACTTGTCAGTGCTGATTACGAATTCATGAGCATAAGGTTTCCATCAGCTCCAGATTTTGTGAAAAAGGAAGTCAAAATGTCAAAAAATCGGGTTTTTTGGCAATATTTTAGAAGCTCTAGCAAAGAATCAAAAGGCGGTATTAAAGCTAGAAGTCCCGACTACTATCCCTGAAAATACCATCCCTACACCTTGACCTGCTGGTCACTTATAGTCATTTATTGAACAGCAAAACCTGATTTTGTGCGAAGTTTGAGTACCCACCGCAATTAAACAAAAGGGGATAGAGCCTTCCACTTGGGCTGAAATTAAGGTTTGAACTTTAGACTACAATCGCTTAAAATACCATCCCTGAACCTTAACCCTAAGGTCACTTATAGTTATTTATTTAACAGCAAAAACTGATTTTGGCAAAACTTATTTATTTTTTTCAATAGCACAGTATTTATTCCAGTATTTTTATATTGCTCAATAAATGACTTTTAGTGACCATCAGGTCAAGGTGCAGGGGTAGTAGCCGAGAGTTATAGCTTTAATTTAAGCCCCAGTTAAAGGTTCTAAAGGTTGTTTTTTGTAGTAGACCTAAAATATTGCAAAAAACGCGATTTTTTGACACTTTGACCACGTTTTTCGTAAAATCTGGAGCTGATGGAAACTTTATGCTTACGGACTCGTAATAAGCATAAAAAAGTCTATGAAAAAGAGCTTTATCATTTGCCGCAACAAAATCACTGTTGCCTTGTTTAATTGTTGCTTATTATAAATTTTCTAATATGATATATTTTGTTTAAATTTCGTAATATAATTTTTTGATTTGTTTACAGCCAAGAAGGTCGGCGAAAACCCTCCGGCTGAACCCTCCACGAGGGTGCCGACTGGTAATGGGCACTACAGTTTAGTTGGAGGTCTGGGAAAACCGGTATCTAACCGTTTCTCGGCTGGGGCTGCGACGTCAGCTCCGCCTAGGGAATTTAGACCCCAAAACTTACACACCTCAACCCAGGGGCGGGGTGCGGCACCTGCTTCCAGGATAAACCGGCAGGATGCTGCTGATATACCCAGCAGCTCAAAGAACGTTGCAACCACAGGTCAGTGGGGGGCGGCTAAACATGTCCGCCCCTCTAAGCAGGCCTACTACGAGAGAAAGGCGGCCATTAGGGTCGTTAATAGGATAGGGGACCTGCCGACAGAACAGCTGACGGAGGAACAAATCCAGTCATTGGACTGGGCGAGGGGAGTGGTAGCCAGCTTGGGAAAACCGGCAGGCACTGCTCCAAAGAGGCAACGATCTGCTGAACAGGCAGGGGATAGGGTCGCCAAAAGACAGAGAACGGGTGGCCATAAATACCCCTCCTTCAGGGACGTTGTTAAGGGAGGCGGTGAGGTACTGGCCATCATTGACAGAGGGGAGGAGGAGGGGACCATTCCGAAGGATAAATGCAGGCAGGTGGAGGAGGCTATTGCCGAAATCTACCTCCAGGTCTTAGAGAAAAACCCTGGACCTCCTCCTCTCTGCCATGATTCCGGTTGGTATCAAGGTAGGGCAAAGCTCATCGCTTGCGAGGACCATAGGTCAGCCCAGCTCTACAGGTTGGCCGTTATCAAGGTAGGTGAGGTTTGGCCGGGAACCAAACTAGAGGCGGTCAGCAAGGAAGATATTCCTAGCAGACCTAGGGCTCGGGTTTGGATTCCGGCTAAACCAGCCGAGCCTGAAAAAATAGAGCGGATCTTTAGATCCTGCAATAAGGACCTGCCAACACACAATTGGAAGGTGGGGAAGATCGAAGAGCCGACAGAAAACAGAAGGCAGGTGTTGCTGATCCTCAACGCCGAATCGCTCGCCCCATTTGCGCAGAAGGATTGGGTAGTCAGATTCGGGTTTGTTGACGCAACCGTTCGAATCTACCGCAGCGACGAGCCGGACTTGGACCTTAATGAGGAGTCCGGCATGCGCAGTGGTGGTGAAGAACGGTATGAAGAGGATCTCCTCGCCGATGACACCGAGGGTGAGGAGATCGAGGAGGCGGACGTAGATGTCACAATGGTGGAGGTAAATCGGACG